GGGGAGCTGAAACTGGAGGTCTTCCCTAGGAGGCATATGAAGGCGTGCATGAAGGAGTAAATGAAGGAGTGACTCATGGCAAGGGTCAGAGGCAACAGTCAAGGGAACCCAGGTGCAGACAAATCTAAAAAACAGTGGGTGGGACTGGTCTTGAAATTACACTTTCGAACATTTAGCAATAATTCAACTGTTAAGGGAAAATGCTGAACACTAACAAAGCAGGGGAAGTATTTAATCATCCCATTTTAGGATAACGAATTCTAGGATAAAGGCAGGAATTGATCAGTCTTAATTTAGGAAGAGAGGATCTTACAAGGAGGACACTTTCTTATACGTGACATTACAAGAGTCAGATGCTCTGTTTCTGTGCTTGATGAGGATGGGGACTTCCATAACCCTAATTATGGCGAATTGGAGAAAAAGAACTGCTAAAATGATCTTCTTTTCCTAAAATATAAAAGAAATTGACTTTCCTAAATTCCCCAAAGACTTAAATCCTTCCATTCAAATGTTGGAGACAGAGCTATTAAAGAGAATGTATGATGTTGGCAGTGAAGAGTCAGAGAGTTCACAAATAACGTTTTTTTTTGTTGTTGTTGTTGTTTGCTTGTTTGTTTGTTTTGTGGTACACCAATTGAACCCAGGGAATTTTCTTTTTAAAATTTGTTCTAATTAGTTATACATGACTGTAGAATGCATTTTGACACATCATACATAAATGGAGCATAACTTCTCAGTCTTCTGGTTGTACATGATGTAAAGTTACACTGGCAGTAATCTATGCACATAGGGTAATAATGTCCGATTCATTCTACTGTTGTTCCTACTCCTATACCCTCTCCCTTCCCTTCACTCCCCTCTGCCTAATCCAAAGTACCTCTACTCTTCCTTAGCACCCCCCCCATTTTGAATTAGCATCCACATATCAGAGAAACATTTGGCCTTTGGTTTTTTGGAATTAGCCTGATATTCTCCAGCTCCACCCATTTACCTGCAAATGCCATAATTTCATTCTTCTTGGTGGCTGAGTGATATTCCATTGTGTGTATATATACTACGTTTTCTTTATCTATTCATCTGTTAAGGGCATCTAGATCGGTTCCATAGTTTAGCTATTGTGAATTGAGCTGCTATAAACATTGATGTGGCTATGCCACTGCAGTATGCTGATTTTAAGTCCTTTAGGTATAAACTGAGGACTCATTTGGTGGTTCTATTCCAAGTTTTCTGAGGAATCTCCATACTGCTTTCCATAACGATTGCACCAAATTTGCAGTCCCACTAGCAATGTTAAGAGTTTACCTTTTCCCCCACATCCTCGCCAACATTTATTGTTGCTTGTATTCTTGATAATTGCCATTCTGTCTGGAGTGAGATGAAATCTTAGAGTAGTTTTGATTTGCATCTCTCTAATTGCTAGAGATGTTGAAAACTTTTTCATATATTTTTTTGATTGATTATATTTCTAGCCCTTGGGTCATTCTGTTTAAGTAATGGTTGTTTGGCCAAGGAGTCTGGCCGTGTTTATTCTGAAAAAGTAATGGTTGTTTGGCCAAGGAGTCTGGCCATGTTTACTGATTATCTAGTAAAATTACATAAGTAATCAATACAGCTCCTGAAAAATTTAATCTCTTAAATGTTCTAGTGAGTTGAAACTAGGGCAAAGGTCTTGGCGAGTATGCAAGTAAGTAACTCACACAGTTCAAGGTTTTGGGAAGTGAATCAAGAAAGGGCTCACCAGGATAATGATGAAGCTCTTTTTGTACCTGACAGCCAGTGGCTTTTTTGAAAACCCTGTCTGCCATTTAACCTAATCTCCCTGCATGTTAGGAACCATCTTTTAAAGACTAAGGATGATGGCCTTCAAAGGGAGAGACATGTGACCCCAATGACTCTTTAAAATATCAGTTTCCTCAGCAGTAACCATCTACCTCAATCCAGATGCTTTGAACAAGAAAACAATAAAGAAATCAGGGGATTTTACACAAGATCATAGATTATGCATAATTCCTGGAAATTTAAGATAATTCCTGGAAACCTTAAGCTAGTGTTTGAGGATATGGAAGAGGAGGGATCTGAGGAGGACACGGGCAGCCAAAGATCCTCTCTGGTGGTTTCATTACTCCCAAAGATTATTGTGTTTTGTTACTCCTTTTCTAAACTTTTTACTTTGAAATGATTTTATACTTACACAAATCTCGCAAGCAAAAAATTGTTAGAGTTCATACACACTTCATCAAACTTCCCCTAATGTTAGCATCTTACAGATCATAGCAAAAATATCAAAATCAGGGCTGGGGATGTGGCTCAAGCGGTAGCGCGCTCGCCTGACATGCGTGCGGCCTGGGTTCGATCCTCAGCACCACATACCAACAAAGATGTTGTGTCCGCCGAGAACTGAAAAATAAAAACATTAAAAATTCTCTCTCTCTCTCTCTCCTCTCTCACTCTCTCTTTAAAAAAAATATCAAAATCAGTAATTATCATTGACACAACACTATTGACATGACAGTATTATTGAAATTAAGGTATTGTATCTTGCTTATTTGAAAGGTTGTTAGACTGTAAAAATGGAAACACGCGGCTCTCTGTTGTCCTACCATAACGATAGGTGTGAAATAGGAACAGGTCCATGATCTGAGTGAAACCACATTTGAGACTGAAACAACTGGGAATCTGCCCCACCTTGAACCTTTCTCCCTTTACTCTCACTTGGATTCTCAGAAATGAAGATGGATTTCAGATGTTAACCGAGAATCAAAGACGATGAAATGAAATTGAGTTACCAATGGGTGGCACTGTGTATCTATAGGAGTCTCTCAAAATCACCCTTGATGTTGTTATGCTTTGTCAATGGACAAAATTGCAATTTATTTTAAAGATCTTAATTGGCTTTATTTTTAATTTCAAAATCCAAACATAATTAGTTTGGGTTGGGTATTTGGTATTTAGCATGTGTGACTCCATTTTGATTTTCAGTCTGGTCTGTTGGGGCCCAAAGTATGGCCTCCCATGATTTTTAGTGAACACATTTATTGAGCTTACTAGAGCACTCTTTTCAGCTTCAATGTATTTCTAGACATCGACAGCAGTTTTGCCTCACTTGACAGCAAGTGATGCCTCTACAATCTTGCTTCAGGAACTTTTGGTACTCTAACATTTACCATGATCTGTGGAAATAAGGCTTCAACCAGTGAGCTAGAGCCAATTCAGACCTGGAAAGTACTCATTATCTTCACGGTATAATGGTACAGCTTTTTTGACAACCACTTTGCCATTTAACCTAATCTCCTTGAAAGTTAGGAATCTTCTTTTAAAGACTAAGGATGAGGGCCCTCAAAGGGAGAGATGTACGACCCCAATAACACATTAAAATATCAATTTCCTCAACAGTAACTGTCTACCTCAATCCAGATGCTTTGGACAAGAAAGTTTGGGGCTGACCTAAGAGCCACTGCTTCTGCAGCTCAGACTTTCCACACTGAATGCTTAACTCAAACCAGTGGCTGTTCACCATGGAAAAGCTACGGGACCCTCTCAGAGAGGAAAACTTCCAGGAGTGTCATATCTGGGTAACGAGGAAATTCTGCTCTAAAGAGGGGAAGGGAGTTTGTCTAGCCATGAGGGTCTCATACTAATATGTGGTCTAATTCTGGAGACAGCATGTTATAGATCTGGGTATGAGGTTCAGGCTTCAAGTCACTGGACAACACTGGCCATTGTGTGGGGCCACCCTGCTCTCATGGGGTCAGAGCACTTTCTATGGCTACTAATTCTCTGTGGATCCCGGCCCTCCTGACAGCTGGCCTGGACACCACCTACTTTTTCATTTGAGCTCCCAAGAGAGAACTCCCCAGAGGAAGGGGCTCTGAATGTCCTATCCAGGGCAGGCCACCTCCTTAGCTGCTTTTCCCTCCTGTGTCAAAGAGCTACTCCGTGTGTCTCCACAGCAAGCTGGGCAACAGGGAAAGGGAGGCAGGAGCTGCCTTTCTGAAATCTGAGTGTCCATTTCAATTTCTGTGTTGGAGATTGCAGCAGCCCAGGAAATTCTCTGCAGGCAGAGGATTCCCAGATTGGGTGACAGCCTATAATACTGTATTTCAAAATTCGCAGCAGTGATTACTTCATTAGGTGAAATGGGGAAAAGGTCAATGAAATCTCAGAGCTGGGGCCTAACTTGATAACTTTTTATAAGATAATAATTTAATGACATAATCTGTCACAAATGACAGGTGTCCTGAGCTGTATGGTTGGATTTAGACTAAGACAGGACATTGGCAAGATACTGTAGTGCTAGAATATAGAAAAACTAAAGTAGAGGCCTCCTAAATGCTAGGTAGATGCTCTACCAGTGAACATATTCCCAGCTCTCTTGCTTACTTTCTTCCTTCCTCCCTCCCTTCGCAGCCTTCCTTCCTTCCTTCTTCCAATGTTATCTATGCTTTTATAATTAGTAATTTTATGAAAAGCTTTTCTGATGTCCAGTTTACATGGACTACTTATTTTCTAACTGAATTCTGAAACTAATACTGCCCGTGACTGTATCTGCAAGTGGATATGTACTCTTTCTACTGATGCCATAGTGTTCTTACATGTTAGCTCATTTAATTGCCCCCACATATCTTTTCAAATGAGGAAACCAGATTCAGAGACTTCATCGCCTACCTTACTAAAGATCCACACTAGAGGGCAGTCAGACAGGACCCCAGGCGATCTGATTCTATAATCATCAAACTGTTCTGGACGCAGGAGGGATCAGGGCCCTGTTGATCACAAATCACTTGAGTTAGTTACCTGGGATGTCTTTGCAAAATGGAGAATTTTGGAACTGTATGCCTTCCAATCAGTCCTTCTACCCGTATTTCGACCTCACCACGCTGGAAAGCAGGATTAATCATTACTCTTAGCATTACTTATCGCCATCCAGGGCAATTCCTGTACCCTACAAACACTAGGGGGCCTAGCACAGTGGATCGCAACCAATATAATATGCGAAGGATTCAGTGGCGACTTCCTTTCCGCGACGCCTAGAGAGGCCAGGCGGGGGTCAGGAGTCCTCCCAGCCGTCCTTCCCTTTCTCTCGGGTGAAGATGGCTGCGACACTGATCCTGGAGCCCGCGGGCCGCTGCTGCTGGGACGAGCCGGTGCACATCACCGTGCAAGGCCTGGCCCCCGAACAGCCGGTCACGCTGCGCGCGTCCCTGCGCGACGAGAAGGGCGCGCTCTTCCGCGCCCACGCGCGCTACCGCGCGGACGCCGAGGGCGAGCTGGACCTGGAGCGCGCGCCCGCGCTGGGCGGCAGCTTCGCGGGCCTGGAGCCCATGGGGCTGATCTGGGCCATGGAGCCTGATAAGCCGTTTTGGCGACTACTGAAATGGGACGTGCAGACGCCCTTCGTGGTGGAGCTGGAGGTGCTGGACGGCCACAAGCCTGACGCTGGGCCTCTGCTGGCCCGCGCGCTGCACGAGCGCCACTTCATGCCGCCCGGTGTGCGGCGGGTGCCGGTGCGGGAGGGCAGGGTGCGGGCCACGCTCTTCCTACCTCCAGGTGAGCAACCTCTGTCACTGTTACCCTCTGCCTGTGCTGCTTCATTGGTGCAGTGCCTGGACTTTCTCCCTTTCTCCAACCAAAGTCTCCTAGCGGCCCTTACAAGTCAGTGGTCACTGGGAAACTGCAGATCTTTCAGATTATGGCTGGGTTAATGTCCTGGTCCCAGAGTCAACAGCAGGAGCAATATTGGAAGTTACTTAGAAAAGGGGGAATATCAGACTTTGTCCAAGCCCTGATGAAATAGATTTTCAATAGTTAAAAGACACGCTCTCCCACTGTGGTTTGTGAGCACATTCAGGTATTGTGACAAGCTGCTCTCCTGTGGTTATTCAAGCAGAGTGCAACAGCAGCAGCCCAGCAGCATCACTGGGGAACTTGGTGGAACTTAACCAGTTCAGAAGGATAATGAATAACACTTGCCTACTCAGGAATTAAGTCTAATTGTTACACTCTAGTGATTAAGATGTGGTGATATAAGAATGGACTAATAAGTTATAGGATAGAATAGACATTTCTTAAATTGATAATACATATATGAAAATATGGAGTATGATATAATAGCATAAATTATTGGGAAATGCCAGTATTATTGAGATTTATTTAGATCCGTACCTCACATCATACACAAAAATGAATTCCAGATGGATCAAAGATCTATATGAGAAAAACAAATGTAAAAGTTATAGAGAAAAAAAATGTGGGTATCTATAACCCTATACAGGAAGAGTTTCTTACATAGACTCAGAAAGGACCAATAATAAAGGAAACTGAAAAACCTCGGTGAGACAAACAAGAAGATAAAGAGATAATTATGTGACAGAAGATGTTACAATACATATAATAAGGGATCAGAATCTAGAATATAGTAAAGAAAACTTCTACAAACCAATAGAGTAAAACATAAGCTTTGTAGAAAAATAGGCCAAGGATATAAAATTGAATTTAAAACATAAACAGGAAAAGAATGTCAATAAGCACATGAGAAAATTCTAAACAGAAATATCCCTTTTAAAGTACTGTGGAATACCATCTCATACCTTTCAATAAGGCAAACATTTTTAAATAATGGTCAAGTGTTGGTGAAGATGTAGTAAAACAAGAACAGTCCATATTTCTGGTGAAACTGTGCAGTAACACAACTTTAAAAACCAGCTTGGCAACTTTTAGTAAAAATTGAAATCTATATATTATATAAATAACCTAGGCATGAAAATTGAACATAGTCCTAGCTAAATGCAGCTGGAGTTTAGAGGATGTGTGTCACTGCAGTGCAAGTAATAATAAATTGCAACAACTTTAATGATCATCAAAAAAGGAAACAAATAAATTGTGCTATGTTTATTAACATGTTATGCATGGTGCAGAGATTCCCCACCCTCAGTTTGGAAAGAAAGACAATAATAATCTGAGTCTTTGTCAGTTATAATCTTACTACAAAAATAAAGATCTGGAAATTTGTGACAGCAGGTATAGAAGAAATGTGGACTCAGTTTTTGATGACAATCATGAAAATCATAAGCATAGACCTAGAATGTGTAAGCACTGCCTGAGATTTGGAGTTCTGTGATAGTAAAAGCAAAAGTGACTCCATTTTGTTTAGTAACTCCATTTTGTAAAACAACCAAGCCAAGTAGAAGGGTCATGACCAGGACAAGATGTTCTTTTCCTTTTGCTGTAGAAACCTTTAAGAACATGGAACTACCTAATGGGGCATTGTTTCTATAACTAGGGTAATGGGGCTTTGTTTCTGAAACTGGGGTGACTGGGCTAATTATGACTGGCTAAGTGTCCCTCCGCCTGACTGCACTCTCCCGCTTCTGTAACTTGGCTTGCTTGCATTGGCTAGACCCCCAAACATCCCTTTTGCAGTTCTCAGGCTTATAAGCAGCGCCCTTGCAATTGATTGGGGCTGATAGGGGGAACAGCTTTATGTTCTGGTCATTTGCCACCCATGCTTCAATAAAGGCTTGATTCCATTATTTGTGACTAGTCTGGAAGTCAGTTTCTGAAACCCAGGGATGAAGCTTTAAGTATAACAGTTCTTTTCCAGATGTTTCCAAGATGACCAATGGTACCTTCTGATGTCACAACTCTTTTTTTTTTTTTAATTTGTGTTGAGGATTGAATACAGGGGTGCTCCTGAGCCACAGCTACAGCTATTTTTATTTTTTATTTTTAGACAGGGTCTTGCTAAGCTGCTGAGGCTGAGCTCAAACTTCTGATCTTCTTGCACCAGTCTGTCGAGTCACTGGAATTACAGATGTGTGCCACCTCAACCAGCTTAGTCATCACAATTCCTGGAAATTCAAATCAATTCAAATTTAGAATCACAAGCATCAAAAACAAACTCTGGGTTACCTAAATAGGAAAGGAATTTATTGTAAAGCCATTGATTAAGAACAAAGTTGAAAGGAATATTGGGGATCAGGATCAGAAAACTGAGAGAATCCAAGGGAGATTCTACCACCCAAACAAACCTGGACAGGCCATCACTGAAGCTGGATGCTTGTGGCTCCTGTGGACTCAATGGCAACACTGCTGGCCTGAGTGAATACTAACCTGAGTTAACTCTGTCACTCATGGGAATGAGACCGGGTCACAAGGGAGGTTGGGTCTCATGCTTGCCTTTTGCAGTACAAGGTAGAGCCAGGGAAACAGGAAAGGAGGCTTTGGGTGCTCAGCACCCCCAGCCTGCCCCTCTCCCCACAACAAATAAATGAGAGTCTGATTCCAAGTTGTTTGAAGACTAGCTCTATGCTCTGTTTCTTTCCAAGGACCTGGGCCTTTTCCTGGGATCATCGACCTGTTTGGACTTGGAGGTGGCCTTCTGGAGTACCGAGCTAGTCTGCTGGCTGGCAAGGGTTTCGCTGTGATGGCTCTGGCTTATTATAACTATGATGACCTTCCCCAGAGCGGAGACATCTTTCACCTGGAGTACTTTGAAGAAGCTGTGAACTATCTACTTCATCACCCCCAGGTTGACTGATCTTTTAGTTTATTGATTCCTAAATACTTGCCCGAGACAGGGTCAGATTTTCAACCCTGTGACCTGAGAGATTTACTCTATGACAAAATTAAATATTGAGCTTCTTACAAATTTACAGAGAAAAGTAAATAGCTTTTTTGTTTAATTTTTTTGAGTTGTAGATGGACACAATACCTTTTATTTATTTATTTATTTATTTTATGTGGTGCTAAGGATCAAACCTAGTGCTAGGCAAGTACTGATAGACCCAACCTAATCTTTTCTTAAAATTGGGAGCCATCTCACCAGAAAGCCATGAAAAGATAATTTTTTTTGGCTTTACTATAAATTACTGCAAATTCTGTTTGGAATGCCTGCCCGTGCCTTGAATTCACCCATGCCTGGCTCTCTGACCAGATAGCAGCCCTCTCTGAAACTTTAGTGACACCTCATAAATATTGGCCTTCCCTGGCCAGACAACGACCCTCTCTGAGGCTCTAATGGTCCTCATAAATTCTGATGTTGGGGCCAGCAAAAAATGTAAACTACCATTAGTGTGATGCTTGTCAGAGTTCTGTTATCTGTAACCCCCCTTTGTGTAACTTTCTGGGCTATAAAGCTGGGCTGCAGGAAACCTGAGGTTGCTGTCTTATTCCCACTGTTTTGGGAGGGAGACGCAGCCCGGCCAGTCAAAATAATAAGCTTGCTTTAATTTGATTTTAATTAGAGTCAGTGGTCTTTTCTTGCGTCCTGGTCTAACAGTGCTCTACCACTGAGCTACAACCTCAGCCTAAGAAGAGTAAATTTCTGAGCTAGGACAACCCCACAGGGCATAGAATAAATAGGGAAACCTCAGGTATGAATTCCAGGTAAGGGGACTTAGCATCCCAGTATGCCCAGTACAGTGGGTTTCCTGGGACACAGACCATGAGTGCTAAGACCAGGATAGCATCAGGCTCAACAGGAGGGTTGGTCACCTCAGAAGTGTCACTGTTTTCTGGCTCTGTGAATCTATGTCCAACCTCCAGGTATGTTACAAAGAGTTAAATGATCACACTGGTGAAGCCCTTGAAATGGGCAGGTACTCATTCCCATGGCAAAGGATCTGGGCACAGTGGGTACAGAGTGAGGAAGATCAGGTTCATGTCCACATGAGCTTAGAATATAAAGTGGGAACAGGGGAGAGAGGGCTAGGAAAAAAGGAAACTTAAAATTCCAAGTGCTAACAAGGACACGAATGGGGCACTGATTAAAAAAGAAAACAGTGGGGCTGGGGTTGTGGCTCAGTGGTAGAGTGCTCACCTAGCATGCATGAGGCACTGGGTTCAATCCTCAGCACCACATAAAAATAAAATAAAGACATTGTGCCAACCTAAAACTAAAAATTAAATATATGCATATTTTTTTAAAGTGGAGTGGATGGGACTAGACAGAGCTCAGGAAGAAAAGCCTCAATTAGCAAAGATTTAAATGCCAACTATTAGTATTATTAGTGGTGGTGGTAGTGTTGTCAATTGTCAGGAGTTAATTCTAGTGATTTTTTAAAAACATTTTGTTAGGGCTGGGGATGTGGCTCAGCGGTAGCGCGCTCGCCTGGCATGTTGCGGCCCAGGTTCGATTCTCAGCACCACATAAAAACAAAGATGTTGTGTCGCTGAAAACTAGAAAATAAATATTAAAAAAATTCTCTCTCAAAAAAAAACAAAAACATTTTGTTACCTGCTAAAATTTACGTGTTAGAAACAAAATACATACAGAACAAAATAAATTATGATTAGTGTCAGATCAATGTACGTAGACTGATACTTTGGGTTTTTCATACATACTTGATTATGATTTCATACGCATACATATACTATTTGTCTGCTAGGTAATTGATTCCAATATTCTCTAAAGAAATAACTATTGGGCTGGGGTTGTGGCTTAGCGGTAGAGGCGCTGCCTAGCATGCCCAAGGCACTGGGTTTAATCCTCAGCACCACATAAAAAAACAAAATAAACAAAATAAAGGTATTGTGTCCATTTTTATCTACAAATATTTAAAAATCAAGAAATAACTGTTAATTTCAGGAAGAAGTTTTTTCTTTGAAGCCCAGGCCTTTTCTTCCCCAGTACTTTCATGGGCATCCTAAAGCCTTACTTACAAATGGAATGTTACTTAGGTTCCCCTTAAATTTCTTTGGACTACCATGAAATTCCATGAGTGCAGGGCCCATTGAAGTATAAAGGCACCACACACTACATAGCAAGCAGTTTTGGGATTTGAAATCTTCTTATTTCTAACCCTCATGCTCAGAGCTCTACATGTGGTTTCTCATTTGAACTTCACATGGGTTTTGTGGTATAGGGTTGAGCCTTATTTTACTGTTAAGGAAACTGAGCTTAACAGAGGCTGAATAGTGTTTCCAAACCTATGATATTGATAGAGCCCAGGTCCAGGCTCACGTCCACCTAACTTCTAGGTTGGCACTGCTCACTCTACCACAGTGTTCACGATCTCATTCTTCTGTCCCATTTTCAGGTAAAGGGTCCAGGGATTGGGCTGCTTGGGAATTCCAAAGGGGGAGAACTTGGCCTTGCCATATCCTCTTTCCTGAAGGGCATCACGGCTGCAGTCATAATCAATGGCTCAGTGGCCGTTGTTGGGGCAACCATACACTACAAGGAGGAGACGCTGCCCCCTGTGGGTATCATGAGAGATCGACTCAAGATGACCAAAGATGGCATCAAAGACATTGTGGAAGCCCTGAAAAGTCCTTTGGAAGACCAGAAGAGCTTTATTCCCGTGGAGAGGTCTGACACCACCTTCCTGTTCCTTGTGGGTCAGGATGACCACAACTGGAAGAGCGAGTTCTATGCGAATGAGGCCTCTAAACGCCTGCAGGCCCATGGGAAGGAGAAGCCCCAGATCATCTGCTACCCAGAAGCAGGGCACTACATTGAGCCCCCTTACTGGCCCCTGTGCAGGGCTGCCCTGCATATCTTGGCAGGTGGTCCTATCGTTTATGGAGGGGAGCCCAGAGCTCATGCCATGGCCCAGCTGGATGCATGGAAGAGACTCCAGACTTTCTTTCATAAACATTTGGAATGTGTTGAGGTGACCATCCCGGCAAAACTGTAATTTTCATTTGCTCTCTCCTGAGAATAGTTGCCACAGTTTGTGTGTCTGGATCCTGCTTCCTTTTTAATAAGTACTTATAGTTTTTCCAAAAACACATTTTTATCAATTGCATCGCTTATCAATTTGGGATTGGAGTCACTCTGCAGAAAACAGGAAACATAAGAGGTAGAAAAAGCTTCCTTCTCACTCTTGCACACCATGCAACTGACAAGGCTTTAGCTCTGAAAATAAAAATGAGTAACACTGATGAACAGTGCTTGTGCATAGTTGAGAGTTCAACAGTTGTTTGCTAAATGACTGATTAATAAGTAAATGATTGGCTACTGTGTTAGAAAAGCATATACAGTGCCCTTCGTGTCTATGGGTTCCGCTTTGTAGTTTCAACCAACTGCCAATCGAAAATATTTTAGAAAAAAATTGTGACTGTACTGAATGTATACAGATGAGTTTAATGTTAGTTTCCGTAAACAATATAGTTTAGAAACTACTGACCCAGGATTTACATTTTATTCGGTGTTACAAGTACTCTAGAGGTGATTTCAAAATACACAGGAAGATATGTGTAGGTTATATGCAAATACTACATTATTTTATGTAAGGGATTGAGCCTCTGAAGATTTTGGTACCTGTAGGCATCCTACCCAATCTCCCACAGATACCAATGGATGACTATAATACCAGAAAGATTATAATGTCCCCTTTGAGTTTCTTCTTTTAGAATGGAAGCAACACCTTAGCCATAAACTATTAGTTGGATATAAACTTAATAAAAATTTCCAAATCAACTATATTTTTGTTCTGTGGTATTTTCTCTTTGGATGAATATGATTCCCCTAACAAAAAATTTTGTTAGATTCCTGTTTATATATATATAAACACTTATGATTTTGTTGTTTCAAAAGCCAGCAAAACATTTTTTTAGATGAATTACCTAAGTCATTTGAAGAGTGATATACAGGAAAATAAAAAAAAAATATATGTATCACTTAAGATGAATAGATGAGGAACTTAAATATTTCTTAAACTTTAATTGTATTTAAACACCTCACCAGGCATAGTGGTACACTCCTGTAATCCCAGTTACTCAGGAGTCTGAGACAGGAGGATTGAAAGTTCTAGGCCATCCTGGGTAGCTTAGGGAGACCCTGTCTCAAATCCCAATAAAAAAGGGCTGGGGATGAATCTCAATGGTAGTGTGCTTGCCTAGCATGCATTAATTAGGCCCAGTATTTAATCTTCAGTTTTGCATCCCCCCAAAAAAAATCCTTTAATTTATGGTTATCATAATTTGTTTCCTTTTATCTTTTTACAAATCAATTCCTGATATGTATATTATTTCCCCTGAAACTCAAAAACATTGTTAACAAGAGCACACACACCACCTTGTTTGGTTAATAGATGACAGAAAACAATTCTGTTATGTCAGGTAACCTTGTCAGAAGTTAATAAGTGATGCTCTGTGGCACAGTCTTTGCAGTGGTGTCTGCGTGGATTCCTAGTGATGGACAGATCCCTGATCATTTCCTCTTTACTAGCTATACCACACTCTTCTCCCTCACTGGCCTTACCAGCAAAGTCAGAGAAAATCCTGTAAATATCTGTCTCAATAGGTAAAATCTCCTATTTGTATGTCATGGTGTTGCACATGGTTTACTGTGAAAACTGGGAGCAATAAGTAGAGCCGACGGATTTTGACAACTTGCAGTTTGACCAGAAAAATGAACATAAAGCTGGGACCAAGGAAGCTATGCTTGTTGAAGGGATTACACCTGACCTTGCCATGAGCCTTCCTCCACTAGGCCCTTCCCCCATGATGTGCTGCCTCATCTTGGACCCAGAACAATGGAGTTGGTTGTCTATGGACTGAGACCTTGGAAACCATGAGCCCCAAATAAGCTTCTCCTCCTCTAAGTTGTTCTTGTTGTTTTTTTTGGTCACAGCAATGCAAAAGCTTACCAAGACAGTGGATAGCTCATAATTTCTTTGACTAGGATCTGAACATCCTCCCTAAACCAGACAAATGTCCCATGAGCCTTAGGAAACTTTCTGGGATGCACAGCCCAAATATCATGGCTGATGGTGGAAACAGAACTAGGTTAGGGATGACTTCTCTTCATGGAAATTCCTCAATACAGTGGCTTAAACAAATCAATTATTAATTACTCTCTCAAAAAAGTCCAGGATGGTCACCCAAGGCAAGGATTAATTTCCACAGCTATGACCATTAATTACCAAGCTATGACCATTTGGTCTAAGGCAAGCTAATTACTCCAGTTCTTGTTGTTACATCCAGGTCTAGCCAACTGGAAGAAGAAAGGGACAGAAGGGCACACCGTCTCCCTTGAGAATACTTTCCCATATTTTCACATTCCACTTTTGCCTTTACTAATGGCCAGAATTGGTTTTGTTTTGTTTTTGTTTTTCGAGACGGGGAAAATCACTCAGTTTCCCTGGCTGGACTTGAATCAGAGATTCTCTTACTTCATCCTGGGACTGCAGGCACATGCTCGTTCACCTGATTATGGCCAGAGTTTTATTACATGTCCACATCAAGCTTCAAAGTAGGCTGTAAAATGTAGAATTGATTCTTGGTAGTGATGTACTTATAAAATAAGCAATCCAGCAAGACATTAGCAGAATTATGGGCATTTATATAGCTAATAATATAGCTTTATGTGGAGAGCCACAGCCCAGTCAGAATGATGCCTGGCATTTGCCAGAGGGAATGGTTGTAAGGTGAAGCCGGCGAACTATTGAGATGATGATTTGAGTTAAGCTATATATAATTGCTGTGATGCTGGATTGATTGTATTGCATATTTGACCTTTACTGTTGGGCAACAGGGCAGCTCTTGCTGCCTCAGGGGCCTGCTACTTTGGAATTTCCGTGAGTTCTTGCAGGGGTTCGGGGAGATTGGACAGAACCCAGTGGAGGTATGTGTGCCCATGTGGTGTGTGCAGTGCTGGTGAGAGTTGGGGAATAAAGAGTTGCTGTTTGAATCTACAAGGCTTTGTGGCGGCTTGGTTATTTGTGGGACTGTGGCAGCTTTAAATATGTAAGACATTTTAGAAGTGCAAGGAGAAATGTACAGATATCTCATAATCATTGCACCAAGCTAGCCCTTTCCTCCATTTTTCTTTTTCCTATTAAGAAGTCAGATATTCAAGACTGGGTAATTGAAAAGCAAATGCACTTATGCAGAGAATTAAAAAGGACCATACATTGTAAGGGTCTGGTGAAGTGTCAGAGAAAGAGACCACAAGAGACCAGCTTCATGCAATAAGCAGGGGGGAGTTTTATTGAACCAGCATGCTGGGGCTCTGTGCCCACTCAAGAAAGGAGAGCAGCCCAGAGCCCAGAGCAGAGGTCAAGCAGAGCTTAAGTACTCTTTTTGGAGAGGG